TTCATCTTAAATGCAGGCCTATCACATAAATCAAAGAATTGATTAATGAGTTCAATTATTGAAATCGAGAAGACAAAAAGAAGGTGAAGTTTAGAAAAGAGATGTTGATTCAGTCCAAATTAGAACACTGTTCAGTCATTGGGTCATAGCTAGAGCTGTAGATCTTAGATTTCAATTTGATTTATATGGCTAAAAAGCTAAGACATAGGCCTAAAGCATTTATGGGACTGCAAAACTCGATTCCACTATTTGAAAATCCAAATTTTAGCAACAATAGAGAAGTCTGAACCTGTCTTGTAACCCAAATACTGTTTACTATTTAACTCATATCATAAGTTCTAAAATTCCAAATGATCTCAATTTTATTTTTTGAAAAGTTAAGATAATTTTCTAGAACTTTCATGAATTAAGTCTGTTCAAATTCTGACGTTAGTAGTGATGTTTTGTTCAAACATAAAGATAAGGATTGTCACCAAGTCAAGATGTGGACACCCACTCAACAATTAGTCAATAAATCAATAGTTCTCAATTTTGGCTTATAAAAGGAGATATTTGTCATGCATTTAGGTAATTTGGTTTTTAGATCAATATTACGTTCTTGCTCTTTTTTTTATTGTAATACTTAAGTTTTGCTTTCATTAATCTCTTATTTATGCTTTTCATTTCCTTTCCTTTACTTAGTTAACTTATATCTTATTTATGTTATTATCTTGTTAATTTATGTTTTTCTTCTTCATTATGTTTAGCTAATTTTATTATATCAAGGTGAAAAGGTTACACTAATGGTATAAGAATAAGAATAGTATAAACTCAATATGGACTTTAATGTTTGATACTAACATGTTTATATTTGTTATCTTGTTCACTTTTAATACTTTGCTTCTTCAATGGTTAATCTAAATTTATATTATTTAACACTTGGTATAACAAATACTTTGCACTTTCATAGCCCAATCGTTTGGTATAACCTACATATGTACTATGAAAAAAACTTGATTTGTTATTAATATAAGTTATAATCATGAATACCTGACAAAATTTACAAGTATTAGCATTATTCGAATAAGATAACTAATGTAATCATGCTAACAATTTATAATCCGATTGGAACCTTCTTTGTGTGTGGTTTCCAGTTGAGTAATAAAAAAAGTGTATACTATACTTATTTGAAATATCATTAGTGGATCCTCTAACCTTGACATTTATTTTTATCATTGTTTAATCCTAACATCAATCTTACAATCTTAAAGTCCTCTTTAAATTCTTCTTGTTCTTTTTCTTCTTCTTCTTATTGTTGTTGTTGTTATTGTTGTTGTTTATAATTTATATAGGAACCTCCCTATGCTTCAACCTTGGTTTTGTTAGGTTATTTATTTCTTCGATACTCTTGTACTTGGGGAAGACATCAATTTTTTAGTTGCATCAAGTTTTTGGTGTCGTTGCAGGGGAGATAAATTTTTGTATAAATTATAATATTTATTTTATTTTTATTTTCACTTTTCTTGTATCTAAATTTTTTTTTTCTTTTATTTTTTTCTTCCTTTTATTCTCTTCCTACACGTGCATGAGAGTTTGGTCACGTACAATAAGTGATAAACTTTGTATGGTATCCTCATCATTTTTAGAAAATATAGCTGAAGAAAATAAGCAGTCGCTTCATAATGAGAATAATCATGTCAGAACATTTAGAGACCACATGATTCCTACAAGAACAAGTGCACCATCATGCATAGTTTTCCCCCCTGATGCATCTTATTTTAATTTTAAACCACACATTATTCAATTTTTACCTTATTTTCATGGCTTAGATTTAGAAAATTCATATTTGCATGTAAGAGAGATTTAAAAAATCCATATTTGCATTTAAGAGAATTTAAGGAGGTCTATAACACCTATAATGACTTAAATTGTAGTATGAATACAATCAGATTAAAGCTTTTTTCTTTTTTATTAAAAGATAAAGCTAAAACATGGCTATAAAATTTGAGAATAGGATCCATTCGTGCTTAGGATGAAATGCAACAATAGTTTTTAAAGAAGTTTTTCCCTTCTTATATAACAAACTTTTTCAAAAGACAAAACACCACTTTCACTCAAAAACCAAAAAAAAACATTTTACTAATATTAGGATAGGTATCGAGACTTGCTTAATACTTGCCTTCATCATGGTTTTGAAACATAGAGATTGGTTTCATATTTTTTAGAAGAGTTAACACCTAAAGATAGACAAATAGTGGAATTGATGTGCAATAAATTTTTTGAAGATAAAGACCCTGATAAAACAATTGAGTACTTAGACTTGTTAACTGAAAATGCTCAACATTAGGACATTGTAGGTATTTATGAGGTATCGGGTAAAACTCAACCTCATACATCTAGTAAAGGTATGTACAACCATAGGGAAGATCATGACTTCCAAGTCAAGTTTGCATCTTTAGCTACAAAAGTCGAGGCACTAGAATTAAAAAAGAATGGACAATTAAAATCTATTCAAGACATTATGTGTTAAATCTGTGAAACAATTAAACACTTAACTAATGACTATCCAACTTTTTTTTCGTTTAAGGAATGCCTCCATGAATAAGCCTACGCTTTAAATAGTTTTTAAAGACCCAATTATAACCTATACTAGTAAACATACAGCCCTAGTTGGAGAAATCACCCAAATTTCAGTTGTAAGAGTGATAAAAATAATGCACAAGCTTCACAGTCACCATTTCAAGCACACCATAATTTTCAAAATTTTCATGGATATCCCTCTCCTTATACTCCATCTTCTAGAAGAAATTTTGAGGAAAGATTGCATGTATTCATTGAAAAGCAAGAGACAATCAATATTTAACTTACTCAAAGTATGACATATTTTAAAGAGACTCTTGCAAAATTGACATATACTCTCAGTTTTCAAGAGAAAGGTAAGTTTTTATCTTAACCACAGCAAAATCTCAAAGGGCAATACAATGCAAATGTAAGTAGTTTCGGAAGCCAACACATGAATCAAGTTAAATCAATCATCATTCTTCGTAGTGGTAAGGTTATTGAAAAATCCACTCTTCAACCTTAAGAGAAAAATAATGAGTCAATTTCTAAGAGTAAGGAAATGGTTAAACCTATGAATCATGGGTTCTAACACCCGACCCATTTCCTTTAAGTTATGAGTTACGACCCAAACACCCACTTGTCCCCAATGGAACATGATCATGGCTTACCCAGCACAGCCCAAGCATCACGTTTGCATTGGGGAGGGCCCATTCCATAGACAGGCAACCCAAGCATCACATATGCGCAGGGTGTGCATAACACTGAGGCAGGAGCCCAAGCACCACATATGTACTAGGATGTGCCCAGTGCTGAGGTATAACTCAAGCGCCACGTGTTCTCATGTGATTTTTCTTCAATAGTAATAATAATTTTTTTAAATCTGTTAACAATGATAATAATAATACCAATAGTAATTTTTAATTTTACCTTTCAAATCAAATCTTTGGTTGTTTTTCAATATTAAGAATAATTTTTTTTCTAATTTAATAGTTATTTTTATTAATAATATTGATTATTATAAAAATAATAATATTTATAACATAAAAAATATATTATAAAAATAATAATTATAACAAAAATAATAATATCTTTGAGATGAATACTTTGTATTCTTAGAAAAATAATAATATTTTGATATGAATACTTTGTATTCTAAAAAAAAAAATTTAGAACAGAAATAATAATATTTTTATATGAATACTTTGTATTATAAGAAAAATAATAATATTTACAACACAAATTATAATATTTTTTATATTAATACTTAGCAAATTATAATATTTTTTATGATAATATTTAGAATTGTTGAATATTTTTAATAATACTACGCCGAGGGCTGAATTTTTATTTTTATAAAAAAATATCATAAAAACTTAGAATATAAATAATAATATTTTTCACATAGAAATCTACCCAAGCACCACGTGTGTACTTGGTTTACCCAATACACCAGTAATTAGCCTAACTGCCATGTGTGCACTGGTCTGCAGAACATACAAGCAAGCAACCCAAGTGTCCAAGGCTGAGCAGATCGAGTATCAGGTGGCTGAAACTTGGGGTGTGACTAGCGAGTATGACCTGCTCAGTGCTAGGTGTTTGCAGCCCCCGCAGAAGCGTCTCCAATCTGGCACTTTGATCCTGCATCACCTTATACCCCCACTAAATAAGCACCCATATTACATTGCATAACAATATAATCTATAATAAATTTATTTATAATAAATAATAGTCCGTACCTATACTACATTGTATAACGCAATTAATAATGAATTCACTTATAATAAATAATAATTTATGCTGTAATGGAACATTCATTAGTTTTAGTTGTAGTTAATAATAATAATGTTAATAATAATAATAATAATAATAATAATAACGATGATGGAGGAATTCTGATGCTACCATCATTTGACGAAAGAAGAAGTTGATGTATCTTACGTTTTGCTCTCGCGTTGATGACAACATTTGTCTTTGCTCGACAAGAAAAGAGATATCCAATTTTCTCACTATATCATCCACCTCTTCTGGAGCAATCTGCAGAAATGTATTTGGTTTTATTAATTTTAGCAGCCTTCCATGCAGGTATTTTGCAATACGCTAAGAATAAGCTATTTTGGTAATTCGATCCTATCTGAGATTTTTGATGCCCAACAAGTTGATAGATACAGCGGCATGCCTTTAAACGGAAACGGCATGTAGTTTAGCAATGCCAGTTACTTGATATCTACGGCAAGCCGTCCATAAAACCAAGCGACAAGCCGTCTAGCAATTATAAAACTCTTACCTCCTTTCACCAGAAGCAAGATTTCAAATTCTGGTTTGGCATAAAGTTTACATTTCCTACAGTGCTTCTTGATACTGGTTAACGAAGAATGGCAACAGAATCATCGGAAGGAGAAGAAGAAGGGAAGATCACAGGAGGAAACAAGCTCTTGGTTATCGAAGATGATCTTAGAGAAATGGGAAAAAAAGCTGCTTGGAGTGTTAGTTCTTGCAAACCTGGAAATGGGGTCTCTTCTCTTAGAGATGACATTCTTGACACTTACTGGCAGTTAACGAACATACCCTTTTGTCTCTCCGTTTATCTGATAAATTTTGAGTCCTTATTGAAAGAAGAAATGAAAGTCTGAGTTTCTATTTTTAATTGATTGGAATATAAAGTTTGAATATTTTTCATCTGCTTGTTGTTTTAGGTCAGATGGAGCACAACCGCATTTGGTTAATATTCAATTTCAGAAGAAAGTGAAGCTGCAGGTATGTAACTCCTGTTAATTTTATTTTGGTTAATTGGGTTTTTGTGTGTTAGGATTAATTCGTGGGAATTTTGTGTTTTTCTAGTTAGTTGTTCTTTACGTGGATTTTAAGCTGGATGAGAGTTATACACCTAGTAAGATCTCGATTCGTGCTGGTGATGGGTTTCATAATTTGAAGGTATTTTGTTGTATTCTGTACTTTGTTGTGTTTTTGTAATTGAAAATCATTTTTGTAGCGGCTCATTTTGGTTTTGGTATAAATTTTGTTTTAGGAGATTAAGACTATGGAACTTGTGAAGCCAACTGGGTGGGTTTATCTGTCCTTATCTGGAAATGACCCTAGGTAATTAGTAGGTACTGCCATTCTATTTATGCCTATGTGCTGATTGTATTAATTCTCTTTGCTTAGTGATGCATAATAGGCATTATCCATGTCTCTCATCATTTCGTTTTGTTCTTGTCCACATCTAGTTCTTCTGAATATGATAAACTTAGTTGGCTGCTACTAAATTAAGTTTATCATCGTGAAGTATAAAGCCAATAGCCTGTTTTACCTGTTGTGTTGATCATGATTATTGATATATGTTAGTAGTTATTAGCACTAGAAATCGAGAATCAAAGATGGAGTTTCTTCCTTTCCTTTATGGGAGATGAATGGCAGAGGATAGAATATTTATTCTTACCACCATTTCCTTCAACTTTAAGTTACTTTTTTATCTTCTTGATGTCAAGTCATCAAGTGTTTTGAGAAATGGAGTACAACTGAGTTGGAAATGTTTACAGGCTTGTCCAAACTGAGATTATGGGTTCAATTCAACAGATGGTAAATCCTGAATGATGGTCTTGAATCTTTGGAATTTTCTTATCATCCTATGTCGAGAATCGTATACAACATGAAAACATGTTTTGTTATACCACGTTGCCATCAATTAATTGTTGTAAAGGATCTAAGTTTCAAGTTCAATTACATCAATTCAGCAATGACTCAGTGACTGTCTAATATTGAAATAGTAGTCCTACAGGACCATGTTCTGTATTCTTTTCTGACCCTGGGCTTAGATCAAGCATGCTGGACAAAACAGATACAAAATATATGTTTGGTATTTTGAAACTTTGTATAGACATTTCTGTTGGAACTTAATGATATAAAGTTGTAAGAGAATTGATTTCAATCACATGTGATTGAACCATGACATCGTTTTGGTCTCCTATTTACTGAACATTGAAGCAACAGTCAGCTGGAGGAGACTGCATTGATGTTTTGATCTTGTCTAATATGTTTTGAAATGAGCATTTTGACTTCCTAATCTTGGAACTGTATCTTTGGCAGGGAAACATTTGTTAACACATTTATGTTGCAAATTGCTGTGCTATCGAATCATCTTAATGGAAGGGATACCCATGTACGCCAGATCAAAGTTTATGGACCTCGACCGTGCGTCTTCTACTTATCTGTGCACAATCTTTTGTTCACCAGTTTCTGATTACAAGTATACTGATTGAACACACACACACCCTCTTTTTTTCAAATGCTCATTCCAGGAACCCTTTTCCGCATCAGCCTTTTCAATTTACTTCAAGAGAGTTCATTATGTACTCCTCTGTGAGATGAGAAATATGACCTTGCAGCAAAGGAGAAGAATTGTGAAGCTGTCTCAAGAGGAGAGGTGAAGCATGCAGCTTAAAGTAGCCAGACCGAAGAACGATGAAGAGTTTCTTCCTGGTTTCCAATGTCTGTTAACTATGGTGTTCATATCTTAATCATTGTTGAAGAAAGATGTATAACTAATTGGTTTTCTTCTTACGAGACACATCTAGTATTAGATTGTAAGGAGTGTGTGGGAGTGTAGATGCGGTTAGTTTTTAAAATATTTTTCATTTTAAAATACTTTAAAATAATATTATTTTTATTTTAAAAAAATTATTTTTAATATTAGCATATCAAAATAATTTGAAAACATAGGTAATATATTAATTTAAGGTAAAAAAATTATAATTTTTTTAAAAATATTTTTGAAATGTAATACCCAACAGGACCTAGTAATTGATCTAAAGCAGCTTGAAATATGGGACTATATTGTAGAGGGTTGTCTTTGAGCCTTACAAGGATTTTGACATTTTGAGAATCACATGGTATAAAATGTTGTTACTCTGCTTAAAAATTGAGGCAACCTCATCGATGGAGATGTGGCATTAAATCATTTTCCAGGTACAGAGAGCAGGTGGAACCAAAGCTAGATTTGGCACCTGAAATTCTCCTTTTGTCCCTCAATATTGATAAGCATTAATGGAACCTGGCTTTGACCAGAATTATTGAAATAAGATGCAAAACCTACCAAGCGGGCTGGAATCACAAAGCCTTCCTAAAAGCACTTTATGCCGCCAAAAGTGCCCGCATTTTTCTTTCGTGCAAATGAACATCCAAATCTTTTAGTGGATGCTGTATCATGTATTTTAAACTTGATTCTTGGACCTGAAACCTTTCGAGAACAATTCTGTAAAGAAATCACATCTTCTACGCTAATAAATCACTGTATCTTTATCGTACAAGTGGGCGCCTTCTTTGTGGTCTTAGTTTCTCCATAGCTGGTTAGTCAGCAGCAACCCCAAGAATCCCAAAGAAGCAGCCGATTTCAAGGTTTTCTTGCTCAACCACCAGGGAAGGGTAAAGGGGAAAAGCCCAGTGAAGGAACATCAAACATATCAGAACAGGGTAAAAAGACACGAAGCAAACGACTAAAATTAGTTTCAAGTAACAAAAGAATGGAGCTAGTTTTCGACATGCTTTGACAAAAGGTGAACTTGGCCAGCAAATGGAGTCCATGAAGACTGGAAGACGCTGTCAATATTGCAGATGGGGAACCTGTGGTGTAGTAGATGAGAAGACCCACACAAGTACATCCCCAAGGCAATCTGCAGTGCAACCATAAAATTTGCTGGCCAGAGAATGAGATCAAGCATCGGAATAAAGATACTACATTACGTGGTACTTTTTACAGCTAAACCAGTGGTTCTAGGGTAATCTTTCTTTTTCCTTCGACACATGCTTTTTTTTTAAAGAAAAAAAAGTTTGTTTTAAATTATTTTTTTTATTTTTAAATTGATTTAATGTACTAATATCAAAAATAAATCTTTAAAAATAAAAAATATATATTTTAACACATTTATGAAAAGCAACATTTAACACAATGACAAACACCATCTAACAGTTAATATTGCTAGAATGAAACGCAGGCTCTCACCAATTATATAATTGTCCAACAGGAAAAAACTACAGAGCTGTTTCGATGCTATGCACTGAACTTCTTTTACTTCCGTAGTGTTAGGATGATGAAATGTGAAACAAGTCAAATTCCAGGATCACAAAAAAGCTCTGATTGAACTGCCCAGATCAGCTGTGATGGCAATGCATAATGTGCTTGGCATGTAGTGAAGAAACGCTTCAAAAAAATTAGGGCAAACGTTTAAGTTCAGTAAAGCAAATATCTCCAAGCGCCATGGTTATCATTCACAGGCTGGTTTGGTATCAAAGCTGCTCAGGCTGATCGCAAAGGCTTGGAAGGCTGAAAGCGGGTAGAAATAATCCATCGTGAAGATGTCTTTTCCAATTTTTCCAAATTGTAAAATTACCCTTTCTTGATCTGCAGCAGGCACATTGTGGGATGGTTCAGCACTAGCAACAAGTTGGAAGTTCTTAACAGAAGCAACAGTGACACGCCCTCTGAAATTTAGGCACCAGCACTGTAGTTGCTCATGCCATCTAGGGGCCTTGTTTTTAAGAACAAGGAGCTCTTCCGAACCTTGGGCTAAAACTGGTGACCGAGAGAGGCTTGCAGAACTATTATCTGAGAGCAATTCCTTCCCTATTGAACTTGACAGGTGAGGAAATTGGCCGTTAAATGTCTCTGGTATTGATGTTAGTGTTTGGACAGTGCTCCCCTCCTCAATGGAAGACATTGGAATAGAGTGCATTATGCAATGCATTCTCCTCGGTCCTCTTGGGCGGAGAACATTGAGCTCATACGTGATAGTAGCTATACAGTAGTTACATGCAGGCAGTCTCAGAGACACCTGCCTGGGATGCAATCTACGACTTGTCTGGCTTGCCAGTTGCCTTGGCACTTCAAATGTAGGTTCACTATCATGCATGGTGAACTTGGTTCCCAAAAAGTTCGACCTGGCATAAATTTTCCAAAGAATTATTAGGAACGAGAATATAAGAAAATTCAGGATAAATAATTAACATCCATTCACATTTGAAAACTTGCCTCAATTTACCAATATATGTTTTGCTGGCCCGAGAAAAATCATCTGAAACCAAAGATACTATGAAATCTGAGCATGTTGCCCTTCTGATCTTTCTGGCCGCTAAAAGCAACTTATCATTCTCACCCTCAGCTGTCAATTGATAGTAATGTAAATTAAAAAAAAAACAAATGTAGTAACTAACAACATTTCCCAGTCAATAAGCACTTAACGGAGCTCTCTACACTCAAGAGTTCTATAGAACAGAAAGATTTGGAAGGAGTAGCATATACTTCAAGGCAGCTAGTTGCTCAAACTTGTATCATTGGAAAGTTAGGTAATATGCTTCCTATTAAAATGCCAAAAGCTCCCAAATTTCCAACCATTGCAATGTCATGGTTCTTAGTACGATCAATGATGAGGGGTTTAATATTAATATCACCAATCATGTATGCACCAAATTTTCAACCATTGCAATGTCATGGTTCTTAGTACGATCAATGATGAGGGGTTTAATATTACTATGACCAATCATGTATGCATTCTGCTCACCATATGTTTCTGACTCAGTCCAGATGCGTTGAGAAATAATTACAGAAGATTTTCTTAAGTATGTCATGCCATGCCACAAAGGTAAATATATCTTTTTTTAGCAAGCATGAGCAAGAGAATAACATGACTTACAAGGCACCAGACCATAGTACAACAGAAATGTAGAAGTTGCGTTATCCCTCTTAATATAGCACTGTATGGGCGACTCACGAGGAGCGGGCTATTTTCAGGCAACAAAGACAAGTAAGCAAGAGGCATCCGAGATAATAAGTAAACCAAAAGGCACTAGGAAAAAGAGAATAAAAATATCAGTACCTGCTTCAATGATATGGGAAACGTCAGCCGCCCACATTGCTCAGGAGTTTTTACAATCTCTTTTGTAATTTCTCTCCATGATCTACAGACTGAAGCACAATGAACAACGACGACACGAGCAGGCCATGAGGACTCACTCTCTTCTACCCTCATAATGATATCCAAAAGCAATTCTGGCGGTAGATTCGCCCACTGGCCCTGGTCAATCTGATCAGTTTCTTCTGGTGTTTCATCTGGTGCAATATGTGACTTCGCCCTGCCACGCCAATGTTTCCCTTCAACTCCTCGCCTTGATATGCTTCCAATCCCCTCTTTTATGTCCTTAAATTCACGCATTATGCTTTTGAAGGACATCTTAACTTACAACAAGCACTTACATCCTTTCATTTAATATTCAACTACAAAAACATAAAAACAAGGATAATCAATACAAAACTCAATAAAATCAAAACATAATTCTTTCCCTTTAAATTAAAAAAAAGAACGAAAGAAAAGAACCCTACTTGTTCAATTGGTATGTAAATCCAAGACTGCAGTTCCATTTGTTGCATGTTATTAATGGAATCTTTAATCCCAAGTCTAAAAAGTATAATGCTTAACAGCAATCATAATCGAATACACGCAAACCCATCTGAAACTCCAAAATCAAGGAAGATTCTAACATAAAAGGGAAACACAGAAGGATCCAATTACAGATAAAATAAATAAATCATAATTTTCTTAAATTGCACCAACCCTTCATCTAAAACCCCTCAGTTTTCACCAAAACACACATCACAATGTCTAGTAAAAGAATCCCACGGAAAATTACGCAAAATGGCAACTTTCAGATCCAAAAAGACAAACATTTCCTCAAAACCAACCAACCTTATACATGTAGGCCAGAAATGGGTCCTAATCAAACCAAGCTCAAATTACATAATAATCAAAACTTTGCAGTTTCGAAACCCAAGATTAGCAACAAAGACCATGTTTTCATTACTTTGCCATGTGTAGCAGCACCACGGCCACCAACAACGTTGAAAGAGGGCGCCACCGGCACCACCACCAACGCCACCAGGAGAAGCAGCGTGGTGGGTTTCAAGCAGAGTTTTTCAATATAGAGCACCGAAATTTGCTCCCTTAATACGGATCCAGTTAGCTAGACCATCTTTTTGTTTTCACTTTCTTTTTCTCGTAGTTTAACAAACAGCCAATTTACCCTTCCTCTCCTGCCGGACAGATTAAAATATATCTTTTAACCAAAAAAGAAAACAATAAAAAGAAAAAAGAAAAAAAGTGGGGCTATTGACAACATATTTTTAACTAGTTATTTTTTTTATTGTGAATAAAATATTGACGAGTATGTTTAATTAAGTAAATTATAAATTATATACATATAAATAAATATTAAAAAATAAAATTTATATCAATAAAAATTAAATAAAATTTTTTAATAATAAATATAAATTAAGATATTTATTCTTGTATTTGAATAGCTATTAAAAAAACTTAACCTGTCGGACAGATTAAAATATATCTTTTAACAAAAAAAAAAAAAATGCAACTACTAACAACATATTTTTAACTCGTAATTTTTTTTATTGTGAATAAAATATTGATGAGTATGTTTAATTGAGTAAATTATAAATTATATATATATAAATAAATATTAAAAAAAGATGTTTATATCAATTAAAAATCAAATAAAATTTTTTAATAATAAATATAAATTTAGATATTTATTCTTGTATTTGAATAGCTATTAAAAAAATTTAACCTGCCGGACAGATTAAAATATATCTTTTAACCAAAAAAGAAAACAATAAAAAAACAAGAAAAAAAGTGCGGCTATTGACAACATATTTTTAACTCGTAATTTTTTTTTTATTGTGAATAAAATATTGACAAGTATGTTTAATTGAGTAAATTATAAATTATATATATATATATATATATTAAAAAGAGATGTTTATATCAATTAAAAATCAAATCAAACTTTTTAATAATAAATATAAATTAAGATATTTATTCTTGTATTTGAATAGCTATTAAAAAAATTTATTTAATTTTATGTTAATAATTTTTTATAAAAACTTAATAATTTAAATTCTATCTAACCAAAATAATTTCCTAGTATATTTCTTTTATTGATATATTTTTCCTAACCAAAAAAATATAGTTTTTTGTATAATGTACTTCATTTAATAAAAACCAACAATAATAAGAATAAATATGAAAAATATTAAGAACGATATGAAATAAAAACAAAAAAAATCATTTTTTAATTAAAAAGACTTTTTTATATTTATGCAATTTTTTTTTTGTATCATAATGTTTATTTGTTTAACCAAAACATTATAAAAATCATAGAATCAAATCTTAATGAAAAAATATTTTTATTATTATGTCACGATGTAATAAGAAAATATAAAAAGAATATACTAGAAATTGTTTATTTTTTATCTAATCATGCCATAATTGAAAAAAAAAATCACAAAGAAACCAAAAAATAATTTAACAAAAAAATAAATACAAATTACTAAGGGTTATAAATAAATCCAATGGTTTTATAAAAAACTATAATTTTATTTTAAAAAAATAATATTTTTAATATATTTTAAAGTTATTTATTTTTTTAAAATTTAATTAAAAAAATACATAACAAACCCAATACACAAATGTCAAGTGCCTAGGCTTGAGTGGCTGTGAATAACTTTTTTTTTTTGTTGGGAAAATAGGATGAATCATCCGCTTTTTCTCCAAGAAAGAAAACAAATGATACATCATTTGTTTACCTAATTTGCAACCACTAAAAAGGTGTTTGTAAAATTAAATTAGAGTGTTTTTTAATCTAAAAATTTATTTTTAAACTATCTTGATTTATAAAAAATTAATAAGTATTTTTGGTGTTATGATTTAAATTTAATCACATGATCAAACACATAAATAAAAGCGCTCTTGAACTATCTTGTCTATGCTAATTCTTGTGCCTTAATATAATTTTATCAGAATTAAAAATTAAAGTAATGATATAAAAATAAATCATTATTTTTTATTATTAGATCATATATATAAATATATACTTACATACATAAAAAAAATAACCTAAAAACTATTATAATTATAGAGTTCAAGCTATACACAACATCATAGATCATATGCTCAAAATGAGTATCAAAATTAAAAAATCTTAAATGAAAAGGTGTTACACATACCAACTTAAAGTATAAAAAAAAAAACTCCCTTTTAATAAATGATACTTAATCAACTAACATGGTATATACTTGATACAATAATAAATTTGTGAGTTTTCCACTGCTCAATAAATAAATAATATCAAATATATAAATAAAAGACTAAGTTATAATATATGATTAATCCAATATGTTCATTCATGATATAGGTGTAATTAAGCATACCAAAAACATATATAAACATAATCTATATGTTACTTTTTTAGACGACTATAAATTATAAAATCATATATAAAAAAATAAAAAGAAAAAAAAACATATTCATGCTATGTATCCTAACAAAAAAACCACCCTTGCTAGGTAAAATATGCTAACATATTTCTATGATGATATTTCATACAAGCTAGCATCATTAATAAGAAGTAAAGTAAATAGATTCAAGTATGTGTATATAAATTAATATTATATTCTAACTTGTATTACTCTATAATGCATTCTAGACTAATTAGATAATTAAACTAATCATTTAGATATGATATTATTCGCATTGATGATTATACATATATTATTATTAATCTCATTAGCATATTTAGTATTATTTATTCATAATTTATTACAATGATTAAAAAAAATCAAGATAAGCATTAACACCTACTAGTCACATATAACCAATACAATTCAAAAGGAAATAATAAAAACTTTATAATAAATCTATCTTAAAATTTGTTATTTATGACAAGATTGAAATATAATTTTCACAAATCAAGGATCAAATTAAGAATTTCATCATCTTCAACCTTAACACATATTTTCCAACATCAATATTGATTTTTCTACACATTTCTTTTTATATTTCCCTATTCTCTTTCTAATATTCAAATGGGTTAAGGTATTTACTCAAATTACAACAAAATATATCAATTAATCAAAGTTACACACCAATTTATCCCTTTTTGACTTCAATTAAATTCATATTTAAATACACACACATTACTACTCATACATAAATTAATTCAAACAAACCCATAACACATCAACTAATTTTATATAAACCCTAAAATTTTCAAAAGTTTATATTTAGAATAAACTCATATAGCTATACCATACAAAATTTAAAAAAAAAAATACAAAGAAGACTTACTCAAAAGATAAGGATTATATGGATAATTGGTTGTTTAGGGTTTAAAAAGAAATATTTTCTAAGAACACATAAAAAATGGATGTTCTTGATGAAAGAAAATCAGAAAAGAAAAGCTATTAAATAGATATATACACATAATTTTAAGCCAACCAGTAGATTAATAAATAGCTTAACTCATAGGCCAATAACTATAGTAAATGGGCCTCACATTCTCTTTTGGTTAAAGAAATTCAATCCTCAAATTTAATCTATTTACTTATTAAATTTTTTTAAATAATTATGGATATTTTTTTATTATATATCCTCCTTTAACTTCATAGTTGGTTTTTCATTAGAGTGACCTTTTTAAATTACTTTCACTGATGCAATCTCTTTATAATAAAGTTTTTGCACTTGATGATTTATGATCTTTTGATGTTGAACTTTATAGGATATATCATCTCAAAGTTTACTTGTCTGGTCTTTTAATGCATGGGATGGATTAAGAAGATATTTTTAAAGCATATACACATAGAATATAGAATAAACATTAAAGAACATAGGAGGAAGGGCTAATTAATAGACAACTAGTCTAACTCTTTTTAAAATCTCAAATAACCTAATATACTGAGGATCGAGTTTCCTTTTTTATCAAAACTGAAACGCAACTTTGGTATAAAAAATCTTTAGAAGTACATTATCTCCAACCAAAAAATCCAAGTAATGTCATCTTTGATCAACATTTGTTTGTTTATTATGTGCAATTTAAAGTTTATCTCTAATAATTATGATATTTTTTAAATTTATTTGCTCCAACTCCAAACTCAATAATTTCTTTTCACCAACTTTAAACTAACAAATAAAAGAGAGACAATTATGATAATAAAAAACTTTATATAAAGTCATTTCAATACTAGCTTCATAACTATTATTACAAGTAAATTCAACCAATGATAGATATATGCTCTAACCAACACCAAAGTCATTAGCAAATGCTCTTAAAATGTCCTTTAACTTCTGAATAATTTGCTTTGACTTACCATCTATTTTAGGAGGAGATGTTGTACTAAAATCAAGTAAAGTATCGTAGCTTCTTGAAACTTCTTTTTAAAATAATAAGTAAATCGAGGATCTTTTATCAAATATAATAGAAATTATATTCTACAAAGATGAACTATGTCATCAATATAAAATATAGCAAGCTTAACAAACCTCTATTTCATATTTGCATGTAGAAAATGAGCTAACTTGGTCAATCTATCAACGATGACCTATATGAATTCATATCTTTTTTGAGTTCCATGCAACCCCATCATAAAATCTATTGATATCATTTTTCACTGTCATTCTATAATCAATAAAGATTGCAATAATCTAAGAGATTTCTAGTGTTCACCAACAATAGGTACACAAAGTCCAAAATAATTTCTCAAGATACCATCATTAACTATCATAAAATTTTAAGATTTGATAACTTTTATCTCTGGTCTTGCATATGATCATCTTTTTCTTGAGTAGCTTCAATTTCATCTATCAAAACATGTTTAACTTGAAAATGAGTTAACAACACTAAGAATCATCCATTACTATTAGTATTATTTCATTCACTAAAACATATACCTTTATAATCAAATGTATTCTAAATTTATTTATGTGAGCCAAACTCCCTGAAGATTTTCAACTTAAAGCATCGATAACAACATTAGCCTTACTTAGATGATGTTGGTTAATGCAATCATAATCTTTATGCAATTCTATTCATCTTTTTTGCCTAAAGTGAAAATCATTTTACTAGAAAATATATTTTAAGCTCTTATAACCGGTAAAAGTTTCATAAGTCTCATCATATAAATAAAACCTTTATATTTTAAGAGAAAAATAATAGCTACCACCTCTAAATCATAGGTAGGA